AATGCTCAAGGGTTGAGCGTCCAGGAGGTCATGGTTTGAGTCCCAGTCAGGGCTTGATCCCCATTGTGGGTCACGCAGAAAACCTGAACAGACATTTCTCCAAAGATGATCCGAGTTGTGGGCTTGATCCCCATTGTGGGTCACGCAGGATGCAACATATCTAAGATTCTCTCTGATCACTGAGGTTTCTATCTTTCTATCTTTCTCTTCCTCTCACTTCCTCTCTGAAATCAATAAAAATATATTTTTTTAAAAAGAGCCATAGCCAGTTTGGCTCAGTGGATAGAGTGGCAGGCTACAGACTGAAGGGCCCCAGGTTCAATTCTGTTCAAGGACATATATCTACGTTACAGACTCCTGGCCCTGGTCAAGGGCATGGGGGAAGCAACCAACTGATGTGTTTCACTACCACATCGGTATTTATCTCTGTCTCTCCCTCTCTCACTGTCTCTAAAAATCAATGGGAAAAATATCCTTGGATGAGAAAAAAAAAAGAAAGAAACAGAAATAGAGGAGATAAAAAACAAATGGAAGCATATACCATGTTCATGGAGTGGAAAAATTAACATCACTAAAATGTCTATACTACCAAAAGTAATCCCAGATTCAAAGCAATCCCTATTAAAATACCAATGGCATACTTTACAGAGCAAGAACAAATACTCCAAAAATGTATATAGAACCATAAAAGACCCCAAATAGCTGTAGCAATCTCTCCAAAGAAGAACAAAATAGAAGGGATCACAATACTGGATACCAAACTACACTACAAAGCCATTATAATCAAAACAGCCTTGTTTTTGTACAAGAGCAGGCATATAGACTAATGGATCAGAACAGAAACCAAGGAAACTGACCCACACCATTATGGTCAATTAATATTTGACAATAGAGGCAAGAACATACAATGGAATAAAAACAGTCTCTTCAACAAATGGTGCTGAGAAAACTGGACAGACACACGAAAAAAATGAAACTAGACCACAAATTTACACCATGCACAAGAATAAAAACCAGGTGGATAAAAGACTTAAATATAAGGCATGGAACTATAAATGTCTTAGAGAACAGGAGAACATAGGCAGTGAAATCTCAAATATCTCATGTAGCAATATGTTTATGGATATATCTCCTAGGGCAAAGGAAACTAAGGAGAAAATAAACAAATGGGACCACATCAAAATAAAAAGCTTCTGCACAGCAAAATAAATCAACATGAAAAGGAAACCCATTGTATGGGAGAACATATTTGCCAATGATACATCTGATAATGGGTTAATATCCAAAATATTTAAAGTACTCATACAAATCAACAAAAGAAAGACAAACAATCCAATTAAAAAATGGGCAGAAAACCTGAACAGACATTTCTCCAAAGATGACAAGCAAATGGCCAAGAAACATGAAAAAATATTCAAAGTCACTAATCATCAGAGAGATGCAAATTAAAACCACAGTGAGATAATGACCTCACATCTGTCAGAATGGCTATATCATCAAAAATCAACAAACAAGTGCTGGCAAGTTATGTGGAGAAAAGAGAACACTAGTTTACTACTAGTTGGAATGCAGATTGTTGCAGCTACTATGGAAAACAATATGAAGTTTCCTCAAACAATAAAATATGGAACTTCCTTTTTACCCAGCGATCCCACTTTAGGATATATCCTAAAAACCCCAAAACACCAATCAGAAATATATGCACTCCTTTGTTTATAGCAGGATTATTTACCATTGCTAAGATTTAGAAACAGCCCAACTGCCCATCAGTAGATGGATAAAAAAGCTGTGGCACACGTAAACAATGGAATAGTATGCAGCAGTAAAAAAGAGGGATCTCATAAATTTGGGACAGCATAGATGGACCTGAAAATATTATACTAAGTGAAATAAGCCAAACTGAGAAAAATAAATATCACATCATCTCACTTATATGTGGAATCTAACGACCAAAATGAACTGATCAACAAAATAAGACCTGAAGCAGGGAGGCATGGAACAGACTGACATAACTCCATGTGGGGTTGGTGGAACAAGAAGAGATAAAGCAAAGAACTTATATAATTACTAGAGGCCCAGTGCACAAAATTTGTGCACGGCGGAGGGGGGTTCCCTCAGACCAGCCTGCGCCCTCTCCAATCTGGGACCCCTCAGGGGATGTCCGACTGCCTCTCACAATCCGCGACCACTGGCTCCTAACAACTTGCCTGCCTGCCTGATCGCCCCTAACTGCTCCCCTACGGGCCTGTTTGCCCCTAACTGCTCCTCTGCTGGCCTGATCACCCCTAACCACCCCTGCCTCGCCCCCTACCCGGGACCCAGGATTTCCTCCTCTGGCTGGCCGCAGGCACCCAGGACCCAGGCCAGCTTTGCCTGAGCTGGCCGCAGGGGACTGTGGGCAGGCGGCTTGGCCCAGGCTGCAGCCACAGGTGCCTGGGAATGCAGAGCAGGTGGCTTGTCCCTCTCCCAGGCCACAGCCACAGGCACCTGGGACCGCGGAGCGGGCGGCTTGTCCCTCTCTCTCCTTGGCGGCAAGCGTAGCCGCTGGCGCCCGCAACCACTGGGACCATTGGGCATGTGGATTGTCCCTCTCCAGGGCCGCAGGCGCAGGCACACCCGCTGTCACTCAGGACCATGGGGTGTGCAGCTTGTCTCTCTCCCGGGCCAGAGGTGCAGGCTCAGCCACTGGCGCCTGGGACTATGGGGTAGGCAGCTAGTCCATCTCCCGGGCCGCAGCCCCAGCCACTGGAGTCCGGGACTACAGGGTGGACGGCTTGTCCCTCTCCAGGGCCACCGCCCCAGCCACTGGCACCCAGGACCACAGTGCCTGTAGACTGTGCCTCTCCCGGGGCACAGGTGCAGGCGCAGCTGCTGGCGCCCGGGACCACGGGGCGGGCGGCCGTCCCTCCCCTGGGCCACAGCCTGGCTGGTCCCCATTCCTCTCTCGCGAGCTCATTTGTGCCTGGCTGGTCCCCATTCCTAACTCCCCAGTGTTGAATGTCTGAGCCGTTACCGCATGACAGCATGAGGGCATGACAACCATTTTCATATTAGCTCTTTATTACACAGGAAATGCATAGCCCATGAACACTGGCAATAGTGTAGTGAAGATCTGGAAGGGGGCAGGTAGGGTCTGTGAAAAGGGAGGACAAGGGGGGTAAAATGGTAGATATCTAATACTATCTATAATAATAAAAGTGTAATATGCAAATTGACCAAATGTCCAAACAGCGGAACAGTAGTCTGGACTACCACGCTATGACACCCACTGGTGCCAGGCCAGCCAAGGCAGGTGCGATGCAATTGGTCAGGGGCCTGGCCATTGTCCTATGATCGCACCGCAGAGGGAGGCCCAGACCACCAGCAGACGGAGCAATCGATCACGGGGCTCCCAGACTGTAAGAGGGCACAGGCTGGGCTGAGGGAATCCCCATCCCCCCCCCACACACACCCTGAGTGCATGAATTTCGTGCACCGGGCCTCTAGTCCTATATAATAAAAACCTAATGTGCAAATCGACCAATCGGTGGAACAACCAGTCACTATGACGTGCACTGACCACCAGGGGGCAGACAACAAAGCAGGAGCTGCTCCCTGGGGGTCAGTGCACTCCCACAGGGGGAGCACCGCTCATCCAGAAGCCGGGCTCATGGCTGGTGCAGCGGTGGTGGCAGGCCTAAGCTGGCAGTCGGATATCCCCTGAGGGGTCCCAGACTGCAAGAGGGCAGGCCGGGCTGAGGGACCCTTCCGCCCCAGTGCACGAATGTTGTGCACTGGGCCTCTAGTCAACTATAAAAAATATAATAAAAAATATTTCATGGGCCCTTCCAAATTTAGGAAGCACTAGTTTTTCCTTGTAGAGAAAATGAGGCAATAAAAAATTCATATTATTAAAAAAAATCAAAATGGGACTTCAGAACATGAATGAACATGGCACTGGAAATAGTAAATTCAATGTTACATATCTGAGATTGAGCAATCATAAAGATATCCACATGGCAAATCTCAGGGGTAGATGAGAACATAAGAACTGAGTTCTGGAGATAAAAATAAAAGTAGAAAGCTATCATGAAATTGAATAAAAATTCCCCCAAATTTGTAAACTCCAGAAAAGCAAGGAGATTGTCCGTTTTGTTCACTGTCATATTCCCCAGTGCTTACACAGTGTCTGGTACTCAATTAAATACTCAATAGATTATTCTCCCTTATCTGAGAGGGTTATGTTCCAAGACCCCGAGTGAATTCCTGAAACCTCGGGTAGTATGGGACCCTATATATAGTATGTTTTTTCCTATCTATATTTTTTCCAGTACATATATACCTATAATAAAAGCTCATTTATAAGTTAGACACAGTAAGAGATTAATACACCTAATAATAAAAGAGAGCAATAATAACAATATACTCTAATAAAAGTTATATAAATGTGGTCTCTACCTGATAACCAATTAAATAACCAAGATGGCTAGTGAATGACTAGAGCGGGATAGCTTATATACACACAGATACCATGGACAAAGAGATGATTCACCTCCAGGGTAGGGTGGAGCAGGAAGGCACAGATTTGATCACACTACTCAGAATGGTGCCCAATTTAAAACTTATGAATTATTTCTGGAATTTTCCATTCAATATTTTTAGATCACAGTTGCCTGGAGGTAACTAAAACCATGGCAAGCAAAACTGCAGGTAAAGGGATACTATTCTAAGTATTATCTGAAAGAATGCAAGAGAATAGATCACAGTGAGAGAGAGGGAATGAAAGAGAGAGAGAGAGAGAGAGAGAGAGAGAGAGACTGCAAGAGGTCAAGAGCCTGATGTTTTATGTCAAAAGTTAGACATAAAACTAGCAAGAGAATGCAGACAAGGATCAGAGGAAATAATTAGAAGTCATGAGAAAACCATTAAAAGAATATTACAGAAGTCATAATAGGTGAGTTTTAAGACAGTAGGAATGGTTCATTGTGTCATTCTCAATAGACATATTTACTTATACCTACTTTGCGTGGTTGAAAATCATATTTCACACAGTGCTGAAAACCTTTTCCTTTGGACTTCAGTGATGTGACTATTAGACAGTTCCCAACAAAATGAGCAGAGTAGCCAACTCCTTTGCTAGTACGAAAACTATAAAGAAAATTAAGAGTAGTATAATATCCTCTGATACAAAGAACTATGTATCTAAAGTTTATTATATAAATAACACAAAATATTATAAAAATAAAACTTTTACCAAATAGAGGCTAAAACATAAAAGGCTTAGAAAACTAAAAGAAAGAATTTAATTTAGAAAAATAGAAGACAAAAGAAACATTTAAAATTTCAATTTTAATACATAAAATTAAAGTAATGGCCTACAAAAGCCTATCAAGTCAATTACATCTACATTTAAGAACTATCTGGAATTAGCAAATTTTAAAAATCATTCATGCAGTTAATGTTTCAAAAACAACTTGTTACATAATTTTACTGTATCTTAAGGAAGTAGGATAGAGGGCATCAATGGGGAATAAAGAGGAACATCTATAATACTTTCAACAATAAAGATAAATGTTTTTTAAAAACTTACAAATTTTTAAAAAATGTCAGTCAACTTTGAAAAATAATGTAGGTAATCAAGCAATGGAGTACATTTTTATTTTTATTATTTCTAAGTATAATATATAATCTTTTTTAAAGTAAATATTTTATATTTAATGTTCACATTATTACAGATGTCCTCCAATTCCCACTCTTTGCCCACCTTCATCCAGTACTCCCCCTCCCCTGCCCCTCTGGCTATGTGACTATGAAATATAGTTATTTTCTTCTGGAGGGGTAATTCTTCCTAGCTATAAATTCAACCCCCATATAAAAATTTATATATGTTTTGAAAATGACAGTATTATAGAAATAAATAAATGCTGTCCTAAAATGACCATTCTGAAGTTCAACCCAATTTATGTTTGGAAATTCAGATATTTGGTTAAATTTTTGTAATAGAGATTACAAGCTATTAATAGACCACGTTTTCACACTCGCATTTCAGAGCCAGTCATTGCAGAAAAAGCAATTTAAATATTATTCTTTCATTAAAACCTATGTGATAGGTACTACTAATATCTTCATTTTACAGTTGAAGACACCAAAGCAAAGGATAAAGTAAGTAATGAAGACAGGACTGAAACTCAGGCAGTCATATTTCAGAACACAGACTGTATTAAATGAGTTAATATTTGTAAGCAATTAGAATACCTACTATGTAGTAAGGCAATCAATGAAAGTTTCATAGTATTACTGTGCATTACTGGTAAACTAAAATTACCAAGCTCTCAGTCCTGTCAGGTCAATCCATCATTGGGTTGAGCAACTCATTCTGTTACTTATCTACCAAATGATTATTCTTAACTAATTATAATTTCTTACAGGGTTGTTATTAATATTTTAAAACATATCCTGATTATGCTCACGGAACAAAATAAGTAAAAGGGCAAAGTGAATGAAATCAAGTAGGAGTTTTGGATTTTTTTCCCTCTCCTTGATCAGAAACCAACATCCTCACTAAGAAATCCACAATTGATCTATATTGGTAAGACAGTACAGAGAAAGTCTGCAACCCTTGACTCTTAAATGTAATGGGGGGTGGGGGGGAAACTGCAACTGGAAAAAAATATGGAGACAACAGCAAAAGTTTTTTAAATATATAATTAATTGACTTAATTGTGTCTATCATTTTAACATATACTTTAATATATTAATGTTAAATTTACTATATTTACAAAACTGAAATACTTAAGACAAACGTACTGAAATTAAATATCTTACTTACCAATAAAGATAAGGTTTATCCTTATCAACATTAATGTTATTTAATGGATCCATACGAAACCAAGTGTTCAGGGTAAAGCCATTCTGATAAGGCCACTTTGCAATAGGAGGCAATGCAATTGCCTACAGGGCAATGAAAAAAGATACAAAAGTATTAGTTAAAGAAAATATGACAGCAACCACGGCCAGATATGAATTTTACGGATAAAAAAATAGTGGAGGAATAAATATCAGAAAATCATGGTAAATATAAAAATGTTAAATAGTATCTTATAAAAATAATCTATAAATATTATTTGTTGGCTACAGAAGCATTGCATTTTCTAATAGTAGCTGAATGAAGTTTCATCTCCAGGTTACATAGTAAGTTTCAGACTCCAAGAAGTTCTCCTCCAGTTTCACCAATATATAGACCCTTATTAATATGCCTCAGAATTTTCAGTTTTCTGTGGTATCTGTTAGGTTTTCAGTAATATTTCATTTAATTAAAGGAGGTTGATTGAAACTTTGAATCCAAAAACAACTCTGTGAGAGAATGTTAATGGGATCAATATTGAAGTAATGTAAGTATTACGAGGTAATTAATGCTCATAATATTGAAACAAAAGAAGGAAAATCATAAGATTTATTATTAAGAAACTTCACCAATAAAATTTATGACTGAAAAGGACCAAGACTCACTCATTAAGTAGGAAAGGGATAATATAGTATTCTGTTGATAATAGTAATTTTAAAAATCTAGCCATTCTAAGGTAAATTGAGAAAGTGGTTGATTACTTGAATTGATGTGAACAAACATCTGAGTGGATTTACTTATCTTCCTATGAGATATCCAAATTCCTATCACCTAAAAGATAATTATCCATTATGCTTTTATGACTGATCTGTTCCCCCAATCAGATCCTTCATATTGCTGAGTGGATAATGACCTTTTTCTCAAATATAAGATAGCTTTGATATTAAAAATCTTCTGCATATAGAATAAAGCTTAAATTTCTTCAGGTTATACAAGATCTTCAAACACCCTATGGCTCCAAAAAACCCTTTCAATCTTATTCACTTCTACTATCTTATTCCATATTCCAAAGTATACCTAAATATGACAGCTGCTCCACCTGTTCTGTTACAACTCCCCTTTTTGTATATAATACCCCTTCTGTCCAAAAGACTTCTTCCAGCAAAATCACAAGCATCCCTCAACACTAGGATTATCTGTGAAGCTTTCCTGGACTTCACCCTAGCTTGGCTGCTTTTTTCATTGTTTTCTCATAGCACTTAGTAAGTAAATCTACAGTAGCTTACTATTAACGAGATGTTTTTACATCTGTCTACCCATTAGAGTTCCTTAAGAGTAAGGAATATAATTTAGACTCCCAGCATGTGACATAAGACATAGAAAACATTCATTATATGATCAATGGAAAAATCTCAATGTACCAAAGATTTATAAGTGCTTGCTTTAAAAATAAAAATAAAACAGAAACACACACAAACACATACACAGATACACAATCAATCCTATATAATAAAAGCCTAATATGCTAAGTGTCTGGTTGACCGGTCCGCCTTTCAACCAATCAAAGAGTAATATGCTATTGATATGCTAAGGCCGCTCAACCACTCACTATGACATGCACTGACCACCAGGGGGCAGATGCTCCAACCATTAGGTTAGCTTGCTGCTGGGGTCCAGTCGATCGGGACTGAGTGAGACAGGCCAGACATGCCCTGGAGCCCTCCCGCGGTCCCTCCCCAGCTGGCCAACCTCCCGTGTCTCTCCCCGGACCCGATGGTGCACCAGTGGGTCCCTCAGCCTGGCCTGTACCCTCTTGCAATCCGGGACCCCTCAGGGGATGTCAGAGAGCCTGTTTTGGCCTGATCCCACAGGTCAGGCCGAGAGACCACACTGGTGCACAAATTCGTGCACCGGGCCTCTAGTTTCAAATAAAGAACCAAACCCAGCGCCCAGCTGGCGTGGCTCAGTTGTTGAGCATCAACCTGTGAACCAGGACATCACAATTAAATTCCTGGTCAGGGCACATTCCCAGGTTGTGGACTCGAACCCCAGTGTGGGGTGTGCAGGAGGCAGCCAATCAATGATTCACTCTCATCATTGATGTTTCTGTCTCTTTCTCCCTCTCTTTTCCTCTCTGAAATCAATAATCTATAGCATTTCCATTTACTAGCCAAAAGTCATATATATTATTATATGGATAAATTTAACAAAAGACTTTTAAGACTTGTATGCTGAAAACTACAAAACGCTGAAAAGTCAAAGAAACCTAATAAAAGGAAAGATATACTGTATTTATGAGCTGGAAGACTGAAGAGTGCTAAGAGATCTATTATCTCCAAATTGTTCTATAGTTTTAACCATCAAAATCACAGCAGGCTTTTTATAAAATCTGATAACTTTACTCACAATGTATATGAAAATGCAAATAATATAGAATAGCCAAATTTATATTTAAAATAAAAAAAAAATTTGCAGTACTTATACTTCCTGATTTCAAGAACTACTATATAGCTACAACAATAAAGATAATGTGATATTGGCATAAGGATAGCTATATAGGACAAAGGAACAAAATGGGGAGTTCAGATAGTTTTTGAGAAAAATGCCATGGTAAACAAATGTGAAAAGAACTGTTTGTTCAACAAATAGTTAAGGAAATACTTCAATATTAATATATAACACAAATAAAACTTAATCTCCAACCTTCCCTCCCTCACACAATGTTTTTAAAATTAGCACAAAAGTGATCATAAGCCTAAATGTAAGAGCTAAAACAACACAGCTCTTAGTAGAAATAATAAGAGAAAAAAATGTCGTGATCTTATTTTCTGTTATTACAAAAGCATATGCCATAAAAAAATTTTAATTAAACAAAATTAAAATCTTGAATACTATAAAAAATGTTATGAAATTAAAAAGACATGCCACAGGTTAAGAGAAACTATTTGACATATACATATCTGACAAATTAACTATACCCCAAATATACATTAGAACCTTACCCTTAGGATAGGACAACCAATTTTTTAAAATAAACAGAATATTTTAACACAAGTAGAACAAAAGAAGACATAAGACTGGCTAATCAACGCATGAAAAAATGCTCAACATCATTAGCCATGAGAACAATACATAATTAAAACTACAAAAAAAAAACTGCAATGAGGTGCACCACTAACATAATCAATGAAATGACTCAAATTAAAAAGACGACAATGATCAGGATGCATATCTACCAGGATTCTCATATATTCCTAGTGGAAATGCAAAATTTTCAACTATAAAAAGCAATGTGCCTGTTTCTCATGAAATGAAACACACACTTACACACACACACACACACACACACACACACACACACAACCAAAACACAAAAAACAGCAATTATGCTCGTATGCATTTACTCAAGAGATAGGAAAGCATTCCCACAAACCTATGTTCAAATGCTCATTGTTATTTTATTTATAATAGCCAAAAACTGAAAACCCAAATGCCCTTCAACTAGTGAATATATAAATAAGCTATGGTACATGCATAAAATGTAAAACTACTCAGAATAAAAAGGAAATTAATAAACTACTGGTAAGCTACAACAAGAATGATCTCAAAAACATATGGTAAATGAAAGAAGATTGACAAAAAGACTACAAAATGTGTGATTTTAATTATATGAAATTCTAGAAAAGGCAAAGTTAAACAACCACAAAAATAAATAAAAGGTTATAAGAAACAGGGGCTGGGAAGACAGTACTGGCTTCAAACATAAACAAGGGTATTTGGAGAGTAATGGAAATGTTCTAAATTACTATTGTGGTGGTGATTACCAAACGATTCAAAAATTAACGAACTACACTTTTTAAATTAGTGAATTTTACTTTATGTAAATCATGACTTAATAGAGCTGACTTAAAAATATGTAAATAAAAATAAACATGTGTATTTTAAACTTACCGCAGCACTACAACCAGGGAAATTGAAAAAAGTATCAGGACCATGTCTTTGTGGCATCTGATTAAGAACTGATAATAATTTTACTGCATGTCTTGGCTGAGGAAACAAGAAAAATAAAGGCATTGTACAAATTTAGTAAAAATACCTAATACATCACATTACCCACTGAACTATTTTTCTAACTAGAGAGAAAATTAATTTTAAATCATTTATGTAACTCTTTAAGAGGAAGAATTTCCATTAAAAATTCAAGTCCATAGCTCTCCAAAGACAAATTATTGAACATTAAATATTAATGTACCGATATTGGATACTTTTCACTCTGACTACAGCTTACCCAGATTCCACTTTCTCCTCGAAGCATGCTGAACAAAAGCTTCAACTCCTTGACAGTGATGCTGTAGCTGGCAAGAACCCCCAACATATCAACTAGAAGATCTTCAAAGGAAAATAAAGTTATTCTGAACTCTAGTCATGAGCTTCCATCTGTCAAGATAATATACTTTTTAAAAGAACAGAAGTTATCAAGTGTCATTTCTATGTATATATATATAATACATCCTCATAATAGTCATTCTAATTAATTTTAAGTCATCAGAAAAACAAAAAATTATATGTAAATATTAGAATTTTTCCCGCATCAAGTATACCATTCTAATTAAGTTTTCTTAGTAAATACATAAAATAGACTTTTATAAGTACCCAGAATACACACACAAACCTGCTGTTTGATATTCCTTGGCACATTAACAACAATTTTGAGTACTTCACTCCTTGCTTGGCATTATTCCAACTGATATACATGCATTAACTTCACAAATCCTCACAACAAGCCAAGAGGTAAGTACCACTATCCCCTTCTAAAAATCAGGAATGTGAAGCACAGATAACTTAATCACATTTCCTGCAATACACTCTATTTAGTAAGTGGTAAAGTCAGGATTCAAATGTAGGTAGTATGGCTTCAGAGACCTCACTCTCTCATTCAACAGTCCCTGAAAAGAAGTATCCTTTAAAGGCACTACTAGTCATAGCCATTATGTCAATGTGTTTATGTGCACGTAAGAGACATACTAGCTCACCAAATAATAAAAAACACATACATTTAATCCCTTGTCCCTAATTACTTTCCCTTCTCTAGACTGTGAGTCATACCTCTATCAATTGTTTTTTTTGCAAATTACGCATCTAAATATTTTTACTTCATTTTCTTGATTTCTAACATACTTCCTAAGAATTAAAGATACTATACAAGTTGATTACAATCAATATACATATACATTCTAAAAAACTAATGATCAATTTTAAAAGATTAGGTTAGGATAAGTTGAAATAATTAGTTATTGACATATAATATAGGTTATCCAATACCACAGGTTAATAACCGGAATTTGAAACTTTAAAAATATTTATGATTTCAAAATAGAAATTTAACTGGTCATTTTCATCAATAAATAATTGACTAATTTTCACTTAATGCCACAATAAGTAAGCAACCGCTATGATAAAATTGTGAGTGAATATGCCATTTTTGAGAGAAATCTTTTAAGAAAATAAAATGTTTCATCATTCAAGTAACAAAAATGTTAATAGTTACTACAAATTAGTCAGAGGATATGTTCCTAAGAAAGAATTCTGGATAAAAATTAAGCATCTTACACCTCTAAGTTAATATAAAGCAGTTTTTAAAAGTCAGCTTCAATCTTCATAGATTTCTTAAAAGTTCACCTACAAATACTTTTTTGAAATATGTAATTTCCATTTCTCTCATTTCCTATGTATGCCATAAAAAGTGATCTATTAAGTTTGTATTCAATTATATAATTACTAAAATTTCTTATTTATAGTACATATCACAAAGTAGCTCAGTTTAATTATGTAACCAGTCTTCTTTTCTGTACAATATTTTTAAGGGAGCAAAAAATACCAAAACTATGAAATTCTCCTATCAATTTACTCCACCTTCTAGTGATACCTTCACATTATTAAATAAAATGTATGTCTTTGAACTTATGCTACAAAATATTCATAGTTAAAATTTAGTAGGTTTTTGGTGGTTACTGATACTTCATTAGTATATTGCCTAAATTTTAATTTCTCTTCTGAAAAGTAAGGTGCAGAGGTATTTTCCTCACACTTATTCAATGCTTAATACAACAAAAAGTGAAATTTGTTATCATATTATTATTTAAAGCAAAGACTATAAGAATTAGGAGGCTTTATATAACAGAAATTTGTGAAGATATGAATTTTCTGTGGTACTATCACACTTACTATCACCTTACATCTGAATGCTCATCAATTATATGCCTGTAACCACTATGTATGTAAATGTGGCACATTTTGAAAAATGCACTCTATAAAGTGGTAGACACTTTATTATTTACCGAGAAAAAAAATTAACAGATTAAATCCAGATAAAGTATTCAAAGATCACACAATCTTCAATAAAACATGTACATATAACTTTATAAAAATAAGTTTCTTTAAACGATGCTAGAATTTACACAAATGGTACATCTACATTAAAAAGGTGTTTTGTTAGAATCTAATTTTTCTTCAAATGAATTATTAGTAAATAATATAAAGAATACTAAATCATTCTAAATAAGTAGATACCACCATGAAAGCAATTAAAAATGATTTTAATATATTAAGAAAGACGAAAATTTTAAAATACTCTTTAAATTTAATTTTAAAATACTCTTTAAATTTAAAAAGCATTCATCTTTAACCTATTCTTCATTCCACTCTATTTTGATTAATGTTTTGCTCTACTAGTATTAATTAAAGCATAAATCAAAATAGCATAGTGAATTCTCTAGTGTCTGAACTACTCTTAAGGATCAGATATGATATTATGGAATCACATTGTCACTTTTAGAATTGTAAAACCCCTTTCCTTTCAGTCTCCAGAAGAAACTTATGCTCAAGGTTCATGGCTTCAGAGAATCAAAACTTCAAACTCTACATTTATTTTTTGAGAATGACTGTTACTCTGGGACTAACTTTTCAACTATTTATATTTCTGTGCATCTAACCCAAAGGGGAATGAACTTGCAGGGAGGTAAAGAACTTGTGGTGAAGAATAAAGACTTCAAAATTATTATTTAAAATAACACAATAAAAGTACAATAATTAATATTTTATCTTGAAATTTTATGCTAATTTTATATTCTATTCCTCAATTTATCTGTTTATTTTCTACAAGTATTTCTTCAAAAACTGCCTAGTAAAATGAACACCTCCAAAAAACAAGTTTATCCTAAAATTTTTAGTTCCTCCTGTCATAGTTCCATATATGTCAAATTAAAGAGCACAGAGTTCCAAGAATTTGATAAAGTGCCCATTATACAGAAATATAATATGTATTGTATCTTTTAATTATGTAAAAGTTTAATTAAATACTACATAGAAAGTACTGCTTAGTTTTCTGGTGGATTTCATAGCATTTATTCATATTTAGATTTTCTAAAACCTGGAAAAGCAAAATTAGTAATTATGTTTGTCTAATACGGAAGAAGTCATCCTACATTTGCCAGATTTTCCCTTAACATAAAAAGCAAATTTCCCATACATTTCTATGTATCTATTTTAAATCAAGGTAGCTTCAACAAATTTATATTACCTATAGAATATAAATCTCTACAAACATTTAAACTATATTTTCCTGTCAGATAACCTCATACCTGCTATCATGTCATCTACAGCACTCATTTTCAGCAATACTTGTTCAATTAGCCCAACTTCTGTGCTAGTCTGTAAATTCCGAACACTTTTTCGTAAAATGGCTGTAAACATGCTCCATATTTCTGCTTGACATGTTACATCACAGTGCTCCAAAAGCTCTGTCATGCACGTTATACTCTCAGCATCCTGGATAATAAAATTCATCTCCAAGTCAAATTCTCCACCAACCAGCTGAAAGAAGAAAAAAAGACACAATAACTAATAAGGTGGAAGGTTATTTATAACAATAAAATAATACCAAACATTCAACTAGCAAGAAGGCATAGCTACTCTAAAAATTGTCATTGTTTAGTCTAAAACTAATTTGATAAAAATTTCTAAGCTACAGATAAGTGAACACAGTTGCTTTTTAAGAATTAAATTTGCAAAGAGAAATGTAAATTTTTTAATGGAAAAAGGTGATTTCAAATCTAGAATAACAGAGCAAAATAGAGACTATGACTCCTGGGTGGGATTCAGGAAAAATTCCTACAAAAAATGGGTTTGGCTCTTAAAAGTGATAAAAATTAAAAGACAAAATTTAAGTATAAATTTTAAGAAATAAAATGTAAATGCTGAAATGAAATAATCAATGTTAAAAAGTTTGAAAGAGAAATACCTATCTTATAATACTTTAAAAAGTTGAAAGTTGATCTAACAGCAACCTATTTGACATGTGGCATTATGCTAAATTAGTCATAAGTATTACTGTACCTCCCAAATGCTACTTCAAGTATAGTGATAGACAAATACATATATTATAAAAGACATACAAGAATGATGCTCATTCTCAATTGACCAATCACACATAAATTACTATATTCCATTTTAAGTACCATTCTTAAAGAAGAACACTGACAAACTGGATATCATTTTTATCAATAGAATGGGAAATTTAGGAAGATAATAATAGTCATATATGGATTTCAATATGGCAGCAGAGTAGGTGGACCTTTTTTGCACTTCCTTCCAGAGTCAGACTGGATCTAAAACTAAATTGGGGAACATTCACCTGGCATTATCAATTGAGGATTGAAGAGGAGACATTTAACAAGGAAGGGCAGAAACCATCTGGAGACTGAAAGGAAAGGCAAGGGTCAAAAGAGGGATGGCCCAGCTTCCAAGGGCAATAGGCTGAGAATGAGGGGTTCCCCTCAGAGCATCAAGGCCCGGACCTTAGGCTGGACACCCCTACCCAGAGCACCAGAGCTGAGAACAGTGGCCCACGTAATATTCAGCTGTGAAAGGCTTGGAGCTTATGGCCTGTCAGAGATAAAGCCACATTTAAAAAAAAAAAATCTCAGAGCACAGGATTTTCACATGTAGCCATTCAACTGAGGCTTTTGGTGGAAGGAGGATGCTTTGGACTGGAGTTAACTGAGGAGAGGCTGGGGTAGGAAGCACTGGGGTAGACGTGGAACAGTGGCAGCTGGGAGACCTGTGATCTAATGTCTCCCTGACCAATACCGTATCAGTTCATTTTTCCTAAGAGGCACAGGCCCCTCCCAGCAGCCAAAGCCAGGGAAAAAGGCAAATACCCTGCCCTTGGGATACAGCTCACCCCACCTTTCCTGCCACACCCTGCATCTGGACCCTGCAGAGGAGGCAGCAGCAGAGACCAAACCTATGGGCCTAGCCCTAGACAGTCTCAGCGGGTGTCAGTGCCTGGATTTGGGGTGTGGCAATCCCCACCATGGGAAACCCAGAGGTCTCATGCTACTAATTCAGCCAAAAGCCCTTTCAGAAACAGCCTTTTCAGTGACTAAGACTGACAGTTGACCTGCAGCTGGAGGAGGGCAGAGGTGGAGCCCAAGGAGCCTTGGGATGTTTACTGACCCATGCCTGGGCCCCTTGCTGCTAACAAGTTGGACCTAAAGTACAGACTGGCCCCTCCTGTGTGCAGCCAAGCCCTCTGGAGACAGACACAAACTATCGCTTGAAGCTTCGAACAGATTGCTGAGAGCCAAAGATGGACAGCTTCTGATAGTGGCAACCCACAAAGTACCTCCTGGGAGTCCCAGAAACAACAGATAAAACAGACAGCCTCAGTCAACATTAGAGCAGAATTCAAAGAGAGCTCCCAGGGGGCACTGAACTCTACTGAGAGGAATGCTACTTCACTTTTTTTAAAAATCATTTTCTCCTTTACTGCTTTGTTATTTCTTTCATACCTTATTTTTCTTTCCTTTTCTTACTCTATTACTTTTTCTTCTTTCTCCACCTTTCTCTTGTGTTCCCTTTCTTATTTTTTGTCTTTTTTCTTATCTTTTTCCTTTTCATAATTTTTCCTCTTTTCTTTTATACCGTTTTCCTTTTCCTATTCTTTGTTCTTATTTTTTCTCTCCCTTCTTTCCTTTCATATTCCTTTTTCTTCCCCTTTTCTGTTCTCATATTTCTTTTCTTTTATTATTCTGGTTCACCTTTTTCTTTTCTAAATCTCTTTTATTTGTGATTGTGTTTGTTGTTGCTGTAAGGGTCTTCTGTATGTTTTTGTTTGTTTCTTATTTTGTTTTGTTTTGTTAGCATTGGCACAACTGCTCATACAACCTGGTCAGAGTTGAGACTCACAGGTAGCCAGACTGAGAGAAGATACACCCATGAACAGGACAAACAACAACAATCAAGACCCACTTACAACAGGAGAGCTCAAATAATCTACACAAGGGACATTCCTAGAGTATCCAACTCAGGGGATCAAAGAGACTGCATCATCAGGTCCCACAGAACATAAGGCATCCCCATGAAGACTGGGAGGCATAGCAGTTCAACCTAATACGTAGAAACAAATACAAAGGGAAAGAAAAATGGGGGATAAAGAAACAAACCCCAAATTAAAGAAAAGGAGGAATCTCCTGAAAAACAGCTAAATTAAATGGTGACAAGCAAATTAGCAGATATAGAGTTTCAAAGTAAAGGTTATAAAGATGCTCAAGAAACTTGGTCAAAATAACAAGGTACATAGTGGTAACTACAACAGCATGAAAAGAAAATAGAAACAATGAACAAGAAGCAGTTGGAAATGAAAAATAGCATATCTAACAACAAGAATAAACTGGAAGAAATCAAAAGCAGATTGAATGAAGGAGAGGGTCGAATTTGGAAGACAAGGTAGAAAACAAATACCCAATTAGAACAAAAAGAAAAAAGAATAAACAGGAGGATAGATTAAGGGAACTATGGGACAACATGAAGGATAACAATAACCACATGATAGTGAAAGGAGTTAAAGCAAAATTAGGTAAACAGGGTATAAGGGGTGGAAGAAGGAGGAATCCTGGAGCTAGATGAAACCACAAAATGTTTTGCAGAAAAACAGGATGGATAGCAGGAAAACAGGATGTTTTGAAATGAAGAGGTTTTTCTTGCAAGTGCAAAGTAAAATGCTGCAAAAAGGCCAGAACCAATCAGAGAGTGGCACAGAAAGACAAAGAGCAGGCCTTTAGCAGATATAAGGGGAAGAGCAGAATGCTTCAGTGGCAAACTATTTGAATCCCCTCCCCGAGTGGGGAGACTATGTTTGTTTGCAATCAATCCCTGCCTTGTTTGAACTCCTCTGGTCCTCAGCTTCATTCTTTGATTCCGTGAGACACGACCCTGGGAAGAATTCCTGCTTGCCTATTCCGGTATCAATAAGGTTACCAGGGGGAGCAAGGAACAGACAGCCTGTTTAAAGGAAACAGAAAACTTCCCTAACCCGCTAATGGAAAAAGTCACCCAAGTACAGGAAGCACATAGAGTCCCAATCAAGATGAACCCAAAGAGACCCACACTGAGACACATCATAATTAAAATGGCAAAAGTTAAAAACAAAGAGGGAATCTTAAAGGTAGAAAGAAACAATGACCTACAAGGGAGTCCCATGAGGCTGTCAGCTGACTTCTCAACAGAAACACTTCAGGCCAGAAGGGACTGGCATGAAGTATTCAAAGTAATGAAAACCAAGGACCTGAACCCAAGACTCTATTCTATCCAGCAAGGCTGTCATTTAAAATTGATGTTGAAAGAAAGAGCTTTTCAGACAAAAACAACAAAAAAAGGCTAAACGAGTACATTAACACCAAACAAGCATTGCAAAAAATGTTAAAGGCAATGCTTTAAGAAGAAGAAATCAAGAGAGAGGAATATAGACATAAGAAGAAAAAGGGCAATAAATATGGACCAGTCAATAAAAACTTAAATGTAAATGAACTAAATGATCCAATCAAAATACATAAGGTACCTGAATAAGTAAGAAAACATGAACCATACATATTCTAAAAGAAACCCACCTCAGAACAGAAGATTCACACAGAATAAAAGTGAAAGGATGGAAAAAAATATTATATGCAAATGCAAAGAGAATAAAAGCTGGGGTAGCAATAGTCATATCTGACAAAATACACTTTAAAACAAAGACAATAACACAAGACAAAGAAGATCACTACATAATACTAAAGGAATCATTCCAACAAGAAAATATAACCCTTGTAAACATATACACACAGGAACAACTAAACATTAAAAAACTCTTGGAAGACTTTAAGTGAGAGATCGATAGCAATACAGTAGTAATAGGGGACTTTAACACCCACTAACATCACTAGATAGATATTCCAGACCAAAACTCAACAATGAAACAGCGATCTTAAGAGACACACTGGATCAGATAGATTTAATTGATGTTTATAGAACATTTCATCCTAAAATGGCAGAATATACATCCTTCCCAAAAGCACATGGGTCATTCTCAAAGACAGACTACATGTTAGGACTCAAAATAAGTCTTAAGAAATTCAAGAAGACTGAAACTATATCAATCATAAATTCTCAAATCACAATGGCATGAAACTAGAAATCAACTAGAGTAAAAAAAAAACAACTCAAAAACATTCAAATACATGGAGGCAATACAGGAAGTTATTAAACAACTAGAGGCCCGATGCATGAAAATTTGTGCAAGAGTGGGCCTTCCTTCGCCCGGCTGCTGGCACCGTTTCCCTCTGGCACCCAGGACCTGGGCTTCCCTCCTTCATCCGCTGGCAGGCACCCAGGACCCAGACTGGCTTTCCTCAGGCAGGCCACAGGCACCTGGGACCTGGGCTGGCTTCCCTCTGGCCCTGGCTTCATCAGGAAGGATGACTGGAATGACGTCGGGAAGATGTCCAGTCTAATTAGCATATTACCCTTTTATTATTATAGACAAATGGATTACCAATGAGATCAAGAAAGAAAGAAAAAACTTCCTGGAAACAAACGAAAATGAACATACAACAAACCAAAACCTAAGGGACACAGAGAAAGCAGTCATGAGAGGAAAGTTCATAGCACTACAAGAAACAAGAAAAAGCTCAAATACAAAATCTAACCTAACTACTAAAAGAATTAAAAAGAGAACAAAAGGAAAAGAGCCGAATAAGCAGAAGGAAGGAAATAATAAAGATCAGAGAGGAAATAAATGACATAGAGACTAAAAAAATAGTACAAAAGATCAATGAAACCAAGAGTTGGTTTTATGAAAAGACAAACAACATTGATATACTTTTAGCCAGACTTACCAAGAAACAAAGAGTATCCAAATAAATAAAATCAGAAATGAAAGAGGCAAAGCAACAACTAGCATCACAGAAATACAAAGGTGTTATAATAATATTATGGTAATAAGGAAACCTCTCTAATGTATGGAAATAATTATTGTATGAAGTAATTAATATGTGAAATGTTTGCTGTGTGAAGACCCCAATACTCTGTAACTTCCGAAATGTGGTGAATGCCCCACTATCTTGATGTGAATGCCCTAAGCCCTTAAAGTGTAAACGCCCTGCTCCTAGCAAAAGGCACACCGTCTGGTCCACACTGATAAGACACAAGTTGTTTACCACCGACTATATAAGCACCAGATTTTTCTTCAGTCCACGTCTCCTGCCTGATGAGAGGAGGACTCCACGTCGCTCTGTGAGACAAGCCCCTGATTGACTGCTCTCCTGTGTGAGCCTGAACCAACTGCGGCCGCCTGTCTGTCTCCATCTTCGTCGTCCATCTTTCGGTGTGCATCGCCGGGTGGCCTTTGCTGGAGCCTAGGACCCACTAGGAATAGGTAAATAAACCTTGTGTGATTGCATACTAATTCTGTCTAGTATATTCATGTGTTCCGGTTCGGCTCAGCTATCTAGAGGCATTGAAGTACCAGGGGATAGGCCATTATTGCTGACTCCTGGTCACCTGCGTTTGTCCCACTAAGTCTACCCATGGTCGGCAAACTGCGGCTTGCGAGCCACATGCGGCTCTTTGGCCCCTTGAGTGTGGCTCTTCCTAAGCCTTAGGAGTACCCTAATTAAGTTAATAACAACGTACCTACCTATATAGTTTAAGTTTAAAAAATTTGGCTCTCAAAAGAAATTTCAATCATTGTACTGTTGACATTTGGCTCTGTTGACTGAGTCTGCCGACCATTGGCTCTAGACCAGGGGTCCTCAAACTTTTTAAACAGGGGGCCAGTTCACTGTCCCTCAGAACGTTGGAGGGCCGGACTATAGTTTAAAAAAAAAAACTATGAACAAATTCCTATGCACACTGCACATATCTTATTTTGAAGTAAAAAAACAAAACGGGAACAAATACAATATTTGTATTTGCATGTGGCCCGCGGGCCGTAGTTTGAGTACCACTGATCTAGGTAGATAATTAATTAATTGGGACAAAAGGAGTATAAGAAACTACTTGGAACAACTGTAAGCCAACAACCTGGGCACAACAGCCAAATTCCAAGAAACATACAATCTTTCAAAACTGAAACAGGAAGAATCAGAAAACCTGAATAGGCCAGTAACAGCTAATGAAATTAAAGCAGTGGTCAAAAAACTGCCAGCAAACAAAAGTCCTGGATCAGATTGCTTCCCAGGCAAATTTTACCAAACTTTCAAAGAATTAACAACTATCCACGTCAAACTATTCCAAACATTTCAAGAGGACGGAAGGCTTTCAAGTTTTTTTTATGAGGCCAACATGATCCGAATGCCAACACCAGATAAAGACACTGCAAAGAAAGAAAATTATACACCAATATCTTTGATGAACACAGATGTTAAAATCCTCAACAAAATATTAGCAAATTAGATCCAGCAATACATTAAAAAGATCACACACACACCATGACCAAGTGGGATTTATGCCTGGGATGCAAGGTTGGTTCAATATTTGTAAATCAATAAACATAAAACATCACGTAAACAAAATAAAGGATACAAATCACATAATCACATCAATAGACATAGAAAAAGCATTAAAAAAATCTAGTGCTCATTTATGATAAAAACTCTCAAAAAAGTGGGAACAGAGGGATCATACTTCAACATACACCTCCAGTCAATATCATACTGAATGAGGAAAAACTAAAAGCACTTTCCTTAAGATCAGGAACAAGACCGGGATGGCCTCTTTCCCCACTCTTATTCAGCATAGTATTGGAAGTCATAGCCACAGCAATCAGACAAGAAGAAATGAAAATCATCTAAATTGGAAATAAAACGTAATATTTTAAATAGAAAACACTAAAACTCCACCGAAACAACTATTAGGTTTAATAAATAAATTTGGCAAGATAGCATGATACAAAATTAACATCCAGAAATCAATGACATTTTTATATATCAATAATGAACTCTCAGAAAACGAAGAAAAAAAAAGATAATAATCCCATTTACCATTGCAACAACAACAAAATAGGATCCCTAGGAATAAACCTAACAAGGAGGTAAAAAAAACCTATTCTCAGAAAACTATAGTATATTGAAAAAGAAAATAGAAAAAGATACAAACAAGTGGAAGCCTATACTGTGTTCATGAATTGGATGCATTAGCATCAAAACAATCTACAGATTCAACACAATCCCTATTAAAATACCAAGAGCATATTTCATAGATCTAGAACAAACATTCCAAAAATTTACATGGAACCAAAAAACTGCCTCAGCACTCCTGAGAAAGAAGAACAAAGTTGGAGGGATCACAATATTGGATATCAAACTATACTCCAAAGCCACTGTAATTAAAACAGCCTGGTACTGGTACAAGAACAGGCATATATACCAATGGAACAGAACAGAGACCCTCAAAATTGACCTAAGCTAATATGGTCAATTACTACTTAACAAAGGAGGTAAGAGCACACAATGGATTAAAGATAATCTCTGAAATAAATGGTATTGGGAAAAGTGGACAAATACATGCAAAAAAATGAAACTAAATCACCAACTTAAATCATACACAAGATTAAACTCAAAATTGATAAAGGACTTAAATGTAAGTTGCAAAACCATAAAAACCATAAAAAAGAAAACATAGGCAGTAAAATATCACACATCTCATGTAGCATTATTTTCACTGAACATCTCCTAGGGCAGCGGTTCTCAACCTGTAGGTCGCGACCCCTTTGGGGGTCGAACGACCCTTTCACAGGGGTCGCCTAAGACCATCGGAAAACACATATATAATTACATATTGTTTTTGTGATTAATCACTATGCTTTAATTATGTTCAATTTGTAACAATGAAAATACATCCTGCATATCAGATATTTACATTACAATTCATAACAGTAGCAAAATTACAGTTATGAAGTAGCAACAAAAATAATTTTATGGCTGGGGGGCACCGCCACATGAGGAACTATATTAAAGGGTCGCAGCATTAGGAAGGTTGAGAACCACTGTCCTAGGGCAAGGGAAACACTGGAAATATAAACAAATGGGACTACATCAAACTAAAACGCTTCTGCACAGAAAAAAAAATCAACAAAATATAAAGGAAACCTACTGTATGAGAGAACATATTCAACAATAATACATCGGATAAGGGGCTCATTTCCAAAATATACAAAGAACACATCCAACTCAACATAAGGAAGATAATCTAATTTAAAAAAAGGACAAAGGGCCTGAATAGACACTTCTCCAAAAAAGACATACGGACAACCACTAGTCATATGAAAAAATGCTCCATGTCACTAATCATCTAAAAGATACAAATCAAAACGACAATGAGGTACCATCTCACACACGTCAGAATGGCTACCATCAGCAAATCAACAAACGACATGTGCTGGTGAGGATGTGGAGAAAAGGGAACCCTAGTACACTGCTGTTGGGAATGCAGACTGGTGCAGCCACTGTGGAAAACAGTATGGAGGTTCCTAAAACAATTAAAAATGGAACTGCCATTTGACACAGCAATACCACTTCGGGGAACATGTCCTAAAACTTCCAAAACACCAATCAGAAAGAATATATGCACTCCTACATTCATAGCAGCGTTCTTTACAACAGCTAACATCTGGAAACGGTTCCAAATGCCCATCACTAGATGAGTGGATAAAAACAGCTGCAGAACAGACGGAGCTCTTTCCCTTTGAGATAGCATGGATGGACCTGGAAACTATTATGCTAAGTGAAAAAAGCCAATTAGAAAAATACAAATATCACATGATCTCACTTATATGTGGAATCTAATAAACAAAATAAACTGATAAACAAAATAGGACAAGAGGTATGGATGTTTGGAACAGAATAACAGATCTCAGTGGGGAGGTGGAGGGAGGGATACAAAGAGATAAAAAAAAAGATCAAATATGCATATATGCATAACCAATAAATACAGGCAGTAGTGTGTGGAAGGCCTAGGGAGGGGCAGGGGATAGGTGG